TGTGGCAACTTCCACCAAATCCTGAAGCCAATAGATATTTTTCTCTTTACTGGCTGTTTGCGGCTGGGCGAATATCCTAGGTGATGCAATACGGTTGGTATTAGTACACTTACATGTGACCCTCCCAAATACTTCCTACTCAAATAGATGCCACCTAAATACCTTAAACGTGTTTTGGTTTCGAAGAGTAAAATTTGGCATCTGTCTCCTTTTTGGCATCAATAATAGCTCAAATCTTTCATGAATTATAGTCCTTACCTTCGTTGGTCGTCCGCACAACCTACGTTTTTCCTTACATTCTATACCTCCTGTGGTATTCCCAAATTCTAAACGCTCTCTCTTCTTTGCTTCCACGTAGAGCTTTCTTTGTAATAAACGGCCAAGCGATATTAGGCTATCAAATAGTCTATCTGCTGTCAAGCGAAGGCTAAGTATTTTATTCAACACTGATCAGATTAGCCTGTTATCCTCCCAACCTTCTGTTATCAGCTTTCTTTGTGACTCTAAGAAAGGACCGTTGGGAACGTAGAGCACCATCTCTAACGCACCTTTTGTAGGTATCGTGTCCCTCACGAACCAGCACTCAGTCAAATAATCGTAGATATACTAACGCACACGATTTAAACTGCTCACGTTCTTTTTTGATAATTTTCATCTTAATTCTATTCTTGCTGCAGAAATTTCGGACCTCCGTCCGTTTTCGGCTTCCCCTGAGTTATTTTGCTATCTAACACCCCTAAGGGCGCTAACTGAGTTTTTTATTCACTTGGTGGGCTGTCTTTGTAGTTGAATCTTACACTCAGCAGCACACTATCCCCCTGCTCTATATCCTTTCGCGAAACAATCTTTCATCGCACATATTTTTTGAAAGTCGACCGTGCCTGGACTCCGGCCCCATTTTCATTTTCGGAGTTTTCTTCGCTGCTTCGTTCTGGGTTCACCATTTGTCTGCAATTTGTTAACTGTTATTTTTAAAGGACAAGTGATAGATATATTTGAAAGCTCCGCTTGCTGTCCATAACGCTATATCTTAATCCTGCTGTGTATCTGGCCACTGACACAGAACAGTAGTGGGCCTATCGTCGTTATTTGACCTCGAGGCTAACTCTGTTTTGATAGTGGCCTCTGGGCGCTTAAATAAAAAAAATTATTGTTTTTTCCTTTTTGATTACCAACAATTAAAGATACCATTCTGACACCCAAAAACCTCATATTGGGGTGCCAAATATTCGTTCATACTGCCCACATACGTATTTCCTGCCATTAGCGAGGTGAGGGTTGCCCTGGCCGATGGCACTCTGTTGACGATCCATTCTTCTTTATGTGCGACCCAATCTTGGTTCTTCAGCAGCACACCGCAGGCCAGACCCAAACCGTAGCTTTATTCTCCAGAAAGTTATTTCCTGCCGAATTGCGCTAGAGCACATTTGAACTGAAGGTTCTCGTTGTCGACTTCGCCGTCAAACGCTAACGATACTTTCTTGACAACAGGGACTTCTGATATAAGCCAGTAGGTGAGATCAAAGAAGCAGTTCGGAAATAGAAAATTTGATCGCTTGTGCATGTATCACAATTTTCTACAGTTAAGTTTGGCTAAGGGTTCTCGATAAAATCCGAAACATCAGGCAAGTAAACCTCTTGTTCCAGATTTGGCATCTTCCAATTCTGAGCAGGGACTTCGCTGTGTTGAGGGATCACAAGTCCCTTTCCTGCGCTCTAAAGTCGAATATGAACCAGTTCAAACACTGGGAGTCTAGCCAATTGGACTATATTTTCCAGTTCGCTTAACCTATCTGTCACATCAGCAGACCACTGAATGACATGCTGTCCAGGCCTTCAATTGCTTATACCTAACTCACTCCCAGAATCATCCACACTGAGATGACTGTCGTAAATGCAATGTTGGTTCCCCTGTGACGAAAACGCTTCCGAACTTCAACACTAGGGCCTGCCTCTGTCTAATAGTAATGAAGGCATTATCTGTTATGCCGTGTCCTATTGTGTCAATATCCCACTCGCCGCAAGGTATTCTCTGCCCTGCACAATCTAGCTCGCCCTGGGAGTTGAGCATCAGAAAGCCTGTTTCCGACTGCATTCGTCTGGCCTGGGATACCTTAAAGCTTGGAAAGCGGAGCGATTTCCAGTGACATGAGGAGGCTCCCACTAACACTTCTCCGGCCTTAGTGCAATGTTCGGTAATGTCAATCCAGACGTCATAGGACCCCTGCACCTTGCGTCACCCTGGCAATTTCCCCTTGCAGTCTATTCTTTGACTTACCTGTACATAA